CCCCAAAACCCCAAAACCCCAAAACCCCTAATTTCAATGTAATTCAGATTTAAGTTAAGCTAAGGTTTATAGGAAAATATATTTAAAGCTATATCATCATTAATTTTGAGGTTCGTATAATAACTTGATGAATGTTAGTGGAAACATAAATACTACAAAGCCAGTAAATGGCACTATATTCTTGAAAAATGTATCCTGTCCTCCTAATGAAGGATAAAACTACTTATATACTGTGAATCTTCTAATAAAGTAAGGAGTAATGATAGTATATATTAACTCTAAGGCAGTTTCAATAAAACTCATTAGAGCATATCTTTCAAAAGCCTCATCGCTTAAATCTCCAAAGAATCCTATTTCAAGTTTCCTCAATATAAAAATTAGTCCTAATACTGTAGTCAAATCACAAAGATCATTAGTTTGTATGAAGAAAAATTTGAAAGAATAAATTAGCGACTTTAGCTTGTAGTAATCACTTGACTTTACATTATCAACAGCATTCGCTTACTCTTCTTTTCTGATAGTAGCCTTATTTATGAGAACATTAACATATGCTCTTAGTCTTTTTTACTGGAAAATTTTTTCTGTAAGCTATAGATATTTTATTTTCTTCATCATCAAATAGCTCATCATATTTTAAAGATCAATAGCTTTAACCTTATTTTAGTGACTTTTTCTTTTGCAAAAGCATATCTTTTACCAACACCTTCTCTTTTTTTCTTTTTTTTCTTTTTTGTATTTAAGTGACAGGAAATATACTAAAAACTTGTAAAAATACTTTATGCCAAATATAATTCCTGCTTAAAGCCATGAATCCAATTCTAAATAGATAAATCTATAAGGCATTGCTGCAAAAGCCAAACTTGCGAATTCGTAAACTTCTATCATATCAAAAGGCTCAACAACCTTAAATAAAAAAGCCTTTTAATATCCTATCATATATGGATACACTGCACATACAAAAGGTGCTAAATTTCCATTGAAATTATTTGCAATTTATAAAACCAATGAAAAATAAAAAGTACTTAAGAGCTATATTACTAAGAGCACTGGCCCAAATATTGATCTTATCATGAGCTTAATATTTTTATCTTTGAAAACATTGAAATTAGTTATGAATATCATTATGAAAGCTGTGGGAAATGCTATTAAAAAAGGCAGAATCTTAAGAATAGTTGAAGCAGCTTAATTTTCAAAACTTATTTTTTATAACTCAAAAAAGATCAGCTCAATCACTAATGTTACTACTACTATTGTAAAAATATAAGTTAGAGTAAGTTGTAGTTTGCTGCAAATAGATTTTCTTATTCTAAATTTGTACCATATTAGTATATAAGATAGAGTTGTAATCAGTAGAGCCATATAAGGTAGTTTGACATACATAAAGTAATAATTCTAATTATTCCAGAACACAACTGGTAGAGTTGAAAGCGCACTGATGATTATCCATAGAATATTTATAGCAATGTATAAAACCAATAAATTTGACTGACTTGTCTGTTTAAGTTCTATATCTTCTATGGTAATTGCTCTAATTCTATTGCTGTCTTATGTCAAATCTTGAATATTTGTACTAAGTTTCCCTTTAGAATTTCTTTATTCTTTTGTTTGAACCTATTCTAGTCCTAGAAGGTTAAATTTATGATGAGTTTGAGATAACTAAGCTTCATCTTTAAAATCATAAGAAGCATTTTGATCATTGATGGAATTGAATTAGCTTAATGATTAAGGACTGAAAATCCCATCTCTCTTTAAATTAGCCAACTGATTCTCATTAGTGTGACCATCATATTCAATACTTTCATTTCTTTATTGTTTTAAATGCACTTTCTTCATTGACTTTAAATTAATTAACTTAATTTAATAACCTTATTAATTCATTTTTTGCTTATCAAATCATCCATCAAACTGTTTTAATGGGGTTTTGGGGTTTTGGGGTTTTGGGG